TGCATTCCACTCATCGTGCCAGTTCTCAACCTTGAGCTGAATACCATTTTGCACAGTAGAAGTCTGGTTCTGAATTCTTGGGAGGATAAAAATGCAGTTCTATTGTTCAAATTGCATCAAAGGCAGAACCGTGTGGGGGTGAGAAGGACAGGAAAATACGACCCTTTGTAATCATAATGCGGGGGAAATGTTTGCTTAATAATAGGTTACAAAATAGATTTCTTAATCTGAAACGATAAAATCTCCTGAATAGGGGCAAGCCGATACCTCAGATTATGAACAAATAAGGCAATATTTAGTCACATTGTATACCCCGGGATAGATCAAACAAGGAACCCTTTCTTGTTTGCTGTCAGTCAACTTTACACTTTGACAACATACAGATCCTTCTCGTTTGCACCCAAAATGGAGATGAGTCAAATCAAGAGGAGACAACAAAAACAAAATCACAAATTGTGTAATAAATCTCTAGCCGGATGGTCAAATATAGGTGTTCTTTGCATTTGACTGAGAAAATATAGAGACACAGAAAAGCTAAGTATGAACAAAGAAAAGTTACCATGTTTTTCCATTATCACTACTGCACAAACATCACGTGTGTATCTATATATACACACTCATATGTATGTAAATATGTGTGCATTCACATCTATATGTATATAGGTGTATATATAAACACATACATTTATATTCTGTGTGTGTGTGTGTATATATACATATGTATATATATTCTGTATTATCCAGAAATCACCCTAGTAATGAAGAGGTACTCTGCCTGTCTTCTCTTTAAAGAGCTGATTAAGTGGTTCACAATAGAACAGTGTGGTATTTGCTCTTAGCCTCAATTTTCCTGATGATTCACCTAGAATATGGCTGTCTATCTAGAAACAGCTAAAATTAACAGAACAATTTAGAAAACCCACTGAGCTAAAGTTGCACAGTGCGAACTAAAAGAAGGGAGGAAGATGGGTGACTCAGGGGATTCTTAATGGAATTTTAAACCTTTCGTTTTCATGCTCCCTCAATTTATGGATGAGGCTCTGTTCTCTTGGATACTTTCAAAGTGCTTTTTTGGACAACTCATTACTTCAGATTGTGGGAGGCAGAGAGCAGGTGGGGTGTTTCAGGAGACAGTCAGGACTAGAGGCCAAATTTCTACCTCTGGATTTCTGGTGTTTAGGAACTTGGTTTCTATGGAGCACCGTCAGTGACTCAGGGGCTGGCACAGCATTCGCTGCCACTCTGCTCACCCCAGGAGGCCCACTCCAGGGCTGACAAGCTCCTCACTTAAACCAGCCCCAAGGTCTGAAGAAGGTTCTGAGAATCCATTGGTCTGATGACATAGGGAGATACCAAAAATGGTCCAGTGATTCTTTCCAGAGCAGCTTTCATCCCCAGGGGGAAGGAGTTAGAGCACCCCCTACAGTCACACGCGAGAATATTCCAGGCTGGGAACTGACACAAAGTTGGGGTCATCACTTTCTGTGAGCTCCCCACCCCCGAAGACGCCTTCAATTCAGATCACAGCACTTGAGTGGTCACGAGACCTGGAAGAGTTCAAACATTTAAAAATCTAAGACAGGGATACTGGGTACTTTTCTTAAAATAGATAATCATAAAGAATCAGTACAAAGGTTTCCCAAGGGCCCATTCTAACCTGGCTGTTTTCTTGCATCTCAGGGAAAAGTGGATAGTGGATGGGCATTTAGTGAAAGATGTATTTCCAATTCAGTCTTGTTACTATAGGGACAAATTCTCCCTTTGATTCATGACCATGAACCTTAAGTATGCCCAGAAGCCAAAATGAGATCAAGAAGGAGGAGGTTCTGGAGAGGTCTATGAGAAGCCACTGCCTCTGTGTCGTCACCACATCTGTAGGGTCCACAGCCAATGCCTAGTGGTAAGTCTGGGGACTCTACTGGACAGCAGGGCCAGCAGCCAGGAAGACCAGCTAGACGCAGCATAGAGGAGAGCCAAAGCAAGCTGTGTTGATCTATCACCACATCTCAGAGCAACAACTTTCTGAGGGGAGCGGCCACTGTCTTCCTCTTTTGATGAACTGTAACCTGGAACCAAAGAGAGAACAGAATTCTAGGAAAGGAAACTTCTTGATTAACCAAGTTAACCATAGTACTCTCCAGCAAAAAATAATAGTCAAGTTCAATAATGACTAAAAATTAATCATTGGATCCAGCTATGGTGACCATGGCAAGAGCAAATTTGGTGGCATAATGGGAACAAGAGATTTTTTGGTGTAGGTTTATGAGAGATCAGTTGGAAAACATAAATATTTTGAGAAGTTTTACTGCAGAGAAGAGCAAAGAAATGTGGTAGTTGCTGGGTGACAAGTGGGGCCAAGGGAAGATTTTAAGTTGGAGGAATAACAACGTGTTTATATACTAATGGAAATGGTCCAGTAGAGAGTGTGCGTTTGATGTTGAAAAGTAAGGGGAGAATTGCTGGAGCAATGCGTTTGGAGAGAAAAGAAGAGAAAGAATCCAGCACACTGCAGGGACTGGCTTCAGAGAGGAGCGTGGAATCTCAGCCTCGCTCGCCACCTCCACTGCACCATCTTGGTCCAAGCCATCATAGTGTCCTACTTAGGTGACTGCAATAACTCCTAACTAGTCTCCCCACATCTGCTCTTCATCAGCCTAAAAACTATTCTCAACACATCCTTCACAGACATTCTTTTAAGAAGTATGTCAGATCCCTCGACGTTTTAATCTGAGCAGTTTGGAATGGGAGCGGGTGAAGAGACCAAGCTAAAATTTCAAGTTCAGTGTGCAGACATGTACGTGTGAAGAGATGTCATGTAGGAAAGCAAACCACATGTTCGTTAAACCCACTTGAGCTACACTCCAGAAATCTCCTCCTGCTCTGAACCTGACCAGAATTTCATAGTTTAAGATTTAGGCTTCTTTGGCCCTCGAAGAGCTAGGCAATAATTTTCATGGCTTCTCTTTGCTGGTCTGTTATTACCCCTGGAGGAAATAGAGCAAAGAGGAAAACAATACTTATTTTTAAGAGATCAAAACGGTACACATAACCATATTTCTAGGGGCTTTTCCATCAATTCGTGACAGAGGCAATCTGCATTTATCTAGATTTACCAATAATAAGAACCAGAGAAGTTTCTTTCATTTAATGAAAGTACAACCAAGTTGGATAAGGCTAACCTAAAAATTAGTCTAAAACTATTACAAACCCATTCCCTAAAGTGATTATCAGAACAGTTTCTTTCTGAATGCTGTCTGATTTTTATTGGGCTACTCCACAAAATTCCCGTTAGACTCATCCCGAGTTCTTTTAAACACTGGTCATTTATTCATTGATTCATTTAACAAACATTTTACTGAACATTTACTATGTGCTAGAAACTGTGCTAGGCATTAGGGTTAGAGAGATGCGTTCAATCCAGTTCCTACTCTGAAGGCACTTTGTTTCCTAAGAAAACAATTACCTGAACAGGTAATTATCCTATAATGTGATCACTACAATGGTAGCGACAGTTATACAAGACCCTATGCCTTGTAGGATTGTTTTAAACCAGACGATTTGTCCTGCATATGAAGGCAAATCAGAAATAGAAATTGTCACAGTACTGTGTGCAAAACTGTTTATGAAAGTATGCAATATACACAGCCATGCCGTATTAATGTCAATAACAGGAAAGAAAAAATCTAATATTACAACTCTAAAAAACCATCAAATCATTGCATACAGAGTACGGGCCTACTTCGTTATCCTAGCCATACTTTTAAAAATAGCACCTTACATAATGTGCTTTATTTTTTCATTCTTAATGACCAAGTCAATTTTGCATTTCTAGTTCTTCTGAATCACAATAGATTTTTCTGCCTTCCTCTTCCTGACTGGCTATATATTTTAACGCTAAGTGAAATAAGTCACACAGAGAAAGACAAATACCATGTGATTTCTCTTATATGTGGAGTCTAAAAAACAAAACAAACAAACAAAGAAAACAAAACAGAAACAAATTCATACATACAAAGAACAAACTCTGGTCGCCAGAGGGGAGGGGGTGGGGGGATGGCTGAAATAGGTGAAGGAGATTAAGAGGTACAAACTTCCAGTTATAAAATAAACAAGGCACAGTTATAGAATAGATAAATAAAATAAATAAGGCTGTATAAATAAATACAGCATAGGGAAGGTAGTCAATAATATTGCAATAACTTTGTATGGTGACAGATGGTTACTAGACATTGTGGTGATCATTTTGTAATGTATATAAATGTCGAATCACTATGTTGTACACCTAAAACTAATATAACATTGTATGTCAATTATATATCAATAAAAATTTTCTAAGATAAAAAATAAAAGAAATTTGTACTTATTTATTCAGAATGTAGGGTTGTTTCTGTCTGCCTGATTTTTAAGCTCTCAAGTATTATTTTCATGAATGCCTTTCACTGCTACTGATCGGCAGAAAAGTCAAATCCTAAAACTGCGGAGTAACAGGCTAACCCTAGTTGTACTCGCCTTGAACAATAGCACATCAGTACTATCCAACCAGAGGGGACCAAGGTGCTCACCCAGACTGACTAGCGTCCCTTCTCTCTCTGTCGGGGGGAGTATCAGTTATATCACCAGGACAATAAATTTCTGTGCTTCTCCATTTCACTTACAGAGACTGCTGGAGAGGGCAGAAAGGAAAGAGAGAGATGTCAAATCTTGGCAAGTTCTTGGCAAGGCTGGGATCCTACGTAGATTTGTTTGGGGGATTTTCTTGACTCACTCATATTGTCTTTAGATTCACACAGTCAATATATAGACCTGTATCTCTTTGCATCAATGAGTAGAGACTTGAAATTTTTAACGCTCTTTGGAGAAGAGCTGAGACTGATGTAAAAGGAGAGTGGAGGGGGAAAAGCAAACTAGTGGTAGCCAGAGGGCCTGGAGGGAAGAAACCCACAGGAAATGAACAGCGGTAGGTTTGATAAAGGATTTTAAAGAACAAAGATGCCATTAACATGCACTTTGCAGTTTTGGGCCATAGTGTAGTGTAACTGCCTCAGATAGCCACAAGCCTTCAAGAACACTCTGCTACGTAAAGCAACTCTGTATTTGAGGTTGTTTAGGGAACACAAAAGTAAAAGGAGCTATAATGCACATTAAGGTCATCTTGGGGCAGAGAAGAGACCAGCCACAGGAACAGAAACATGGGAGAGTCTCAATGGAAAAAGAAAATTAAAGCAAGAACCGACAGGAGAAAGGTCATCCCGAGAATTCCTGGAGTTGACGTCTCTGTGTGTCTGCAAGTGTGTGCATGTGCATGCGTTTAGGTGTGTTTTAGGAGGTAGTAGAAGATCTTTGATTTCTCACTATATTTGAAATAAAACTTGAAACCATTTAATTTAAAAGCTGCAAAATTAAGTTAATTCATAATTCTAAAGGATTTGGGGATTTCAAGGCAAATAATACTTGGATTACACAATGAACATGATTCCAATAAAATGGTGGTTCTACCCATAAACCACACTTGTATTGACAGAGATTTACTGTTGTGTGCTAGTTTTATAAATTGGATAGGTCAGATGGTTTGAATCTCTACTAATGAAGCCAAACTCATGGGTTTACGTCTCACTCCAGGCTTTTCCCTCTGTGCAGAGGAAAGTTCTGTGCCAAAGTCGAGGCTACTCCGGGGTGGTCGGTACAGGGCCGTGAAAGGGCCTACCCTCTTCTAGGCCCTTGCAAATGCTGCTCCTTCTGCCTGGACTATCTCCCTGCCTCCCCATGCCAGACACAGCGCACCATCACTCAAGTTGTAAGGCTCAGCAAAAGGGTTACCTCTCCATACATCTTTCTGTGCTCTCCACGCAGGAAAGACTGTCTTCTCCCTCACTCACTCGCTATCACATTGCACTCTGTTTAGATTTCTTCAGTCCCAGCTCACAGAGCCCTGTGGAGAAAGTCAGCCACAGTAAATGAATAATGCTCGGGTAACTATTAAGGACTTTTAAGGAGAAGGATGCTTTTGACATTCAATTAATTAACGTTCTATAATACTTGATTGCATCACATCGTTTTGCTTCTATCATGTGTCAGGCTCCCTGTATTATACTGTGAGTGATTCCAGGTGGAGGAATCCCATCTTCTCACCTTATCCTTGAATCCCAGGTTCTTCCATAATAGGTGCATATTAACAAATGTGTTACATGAGTAGATTAATAAATAGGTGGGTGGATGGTTGAATGAAAAGATGGATAAATTTCTAGCCCCTTGACACCTGCAATATTTCCCCAGAAGATGAAAGCCTTTTTGTTGTTGTTATTATTAATATTTATTTATTTACTTTTAAGTCACTGGGTGGAGAAGAAAATATTTACCTGTGAACTGAGATAAAACTAAAAGGAACCGCTTAGGAGCAACCTCGCCCACAATCATAACATACATCTCATATAAACATCTCATAGTTGGTCATAAAGGAGAATAAGAAAGAGACTGTGGGTGGATTAGTGACAACATGTCACCACAAGTAAGAAAACAAAACCAAAAGCCTAGAGGGTAAGTTAGGTCACTTTTGTAGTGAAAAGAGCACATCTGTTTAGGAGATATATTTATGTGTATGCATATGTATATAAATTATTTCTACATAAAATTATATATATAAATATATATATTTATATATATCAGATTTAGATCTGAGAACAGGGCAGGCCCTATAATTTGTGGGGCTCCCATGCGAAATGAAAATGCAGAGCCCTGTGTTCAAACACTATTAAGAATTTCCAGTCGGTAACAATAGAGCATTACACAAATCTCAGGTCCCTTTAAGTTCAGGTCCCTATGCGACTACACAGTCTGTGTACCATGAATTAATTATTTCTTTTTCTCTGATCTTTAGATAAAATAAATTTTTGTTTGCTTACAATTATATATGATTGGCTGTCAGGCTATCCTCAACTAGATGGCACGAAATATCAAGGATTACATTCCATGGATATGTTCCAATTTGCGGATGCCCAACACAAGTATTTTTGTGTTCTAATCCCTCAAGATTGTTTAATGGTCCTTGTTTGGCATGTAGCAAACTCTTGATAAATGTTTAACAGCAAAAATTTCTATTCTCTTTAATCTTAAGACAAGTTTCATCGAAATCCCTGTGTAGTGGCAAATAGAAAGAGGTATGGAGGAAAGATAAATTTATCATACAACGTGTGCTTACGTGTGTAAACTTTTGAATACATACAGTAGTGTTTGGGAGCTATGTTCTAAAACCTTCCCTCAATTAAGACAAAAGTTAAATATTGCATTTCTTAATAAATTCTAGTGATGCTAAATAGACCTCAGTCCCACCTTTCCAGGCACATCTTCAAAGCCATACAAAATGACGTTTTCTACCCTCTGGAGGATGCTTTTCAGGTCAGAGTGTTAACTGCAGCTGCTTTGCTCTGGCCCCACTCAGAACATTGATTCCTCTGCTCCCTTGGTGTAGCCAGTGAATACTGAGGCTTTTCTAAGTGCTGTTTGGGTACCAGCTTCTCTTCTGGTATTTCTTTCATCAACTCATTTGTTCTACCATGTGTGACTTCATCTGATTATAGTCTGAGACCTGTTAACTTAGCTCTGAAAAGTTAGCTTCATTTTTGTAGCATTTTTCAGGTGCTGAAAACTTGCTTTAATCTGCTGCTTGAATCCAGTGATTGCCACAACCCATCTGATACCTATTGACTCATTTTTTTCTCAATGTCTATGATATACCAGGTACCTTACTAGACGCGTGTACTTCCATTGTCTAAAAGCCAGAAATATTTGGGCACATAAGGTAGAATCTTATTATAAAGAACTCAAAGTACTTAAAACTTAAGACTAAAAAAAAGTGTTTATCTAGATAAAGCTTACATCGTATATTAAAGTTATTGGAAATTTAGAAATCACATGTATTGCTATTGTGCGAACCACTGTTCTTTGCATGGTGCTGGGGGGGTGAGAGGGGAGGGGAGGTCTGGGATACAGTTTTCCCTCATTTGCTTCTGGGAAAGTATACTGTGGTGTGGTCCTGTGGCCTCTGCACTTAAATTGTTCTCTACCATTTACATTATCCTTTCAACTGATAAGCAGGTGAAACTGCTATAAAGCCCTTGCACAAATATTTCTTACAGAAGTAGGACTGATTTACTAGGACATAGTAAAATCAGATCTCCTGTGGGCTCTCACAGCTAAATTTTCTTCAGAAGCATCATCATTGATGTTTATTATACCACTTCACTCTAGAATCCATAGCACATAAGAATTTTGGTTCACTTTTATTTAAATTATACTTGTTTCTTTATAAAGTATCTGGAATAAACCAACACAGACCAAGACAGAACAAATAACTGCAGAATGTTTCTACTTTTCTTTCCAATTGACTTCCAAAGATCAACTCAAGATAGCAAGTGACACAGCCCAAGGCTCAGTTCCCAAAAGAGGCAAGCTGGGGGACACTAGATAAAGGGTAGGCTGACTAAGGGATCTCTTAGAGGATTGACAGACAGTGTCTTCTATAAGAGAAAAGCATAAATGCTTCTTGGTGGCAATGGAGGGGGAAGGGAAGCTGGTGAAGGGCGAGCAGAATATAGATGTGTAGTCAAAGAGAACTAGAGGAAATAGCAGATTTGGACTTCACAAATATCTTTGAATAGACTTCACACATGTGCTATTTACAAGCTGGGCCGCATTAAGACATGCTAAAAATAAGGGAAAGTGATTTAGAGACAGAAAGGATGGGGCAGAGATAAATGGAGGAGAATAAAAATGCTAGACTAGATCTTAATCTAGTCTATCTATTAATCTAGTCTAGATATTAATCTAGTCTAGATATTACCACTTAAATAATCTCACTATTTATTATTATTTATTTAAGTGGTAATATCTCTAAATTCATAGGTATGTCCATTAGGAAGCTTTGGCTTTGAAAGACAGAGGGCTCGATCCAAACTGGCTAAACAACAGTGGTGGTTATTGGATTATTTAACTGGAAGTCCAAAGGTAAGCTGGGCTTCAGGATGGATTAAATAAGCAATTTCAGCTCCACTTGACTGCAGTTCTCTCACTTTTTCTCTCTTCTAGGTGTCAGATTCATCCTTGGGCTGGGAAGAAGATGGCGGGAGCTGTTCTGGGTCTGCTATCTATACATGACAACATCCCCACAAAGGAAAAAAAGGTCCCTTCTTGAAGTTGTTCAGGAATAGTACAAAAGAACATTCCCAGAAGGCTCTTCTTTAATCTCATTGGCCATATGAGATTATCAATCTCACGAATCAATCATTGGCAAAAGAGATGTTATTCCCTCTCTCTAGACCAACAGGCTCATCTCTAAACCTGGGGCTTGGTTAGCTTGAGGTCTCATTGGGCCTACATGAGAACTCTACCAAATATCTAATACTGGGCTGCCTTTCCACTGCTGGAAATAGAGTTATATTTGAGTAGCATATTTTGTAGTGAAGCTCTTGCTATTATAAATGAAAAAAACTGAGATTTCTTTAGAAAGAAATATTTCTTTCTCTTATAACGCACTTTATTTTTTTTATTATGGAAATCATATTGTTCCCTTCAGAAAACTGTAAATACAGGAAAGTATCAAGAAGAAAATAAAAGTTATATGCAATTTTTCACCGTCATTAACATTCTGAAAAGCTCTTGCTACTCAGTTTTCTATGCATATTTGTTTATCCCAAAATCTATTGGTTGTTAATGATGGAAACCCATTTCAAACTGATTTAAACAAAAATGAGAATTTATGTAAAGTACACTGGAGATATTCCAGGGAACCGTAAGTGTGGCAGAAGCAGAAATTGGAGAGCAAGCGGGAACTTAGGGAGTAGAGGTTCTGCCCTTCTCTCTTTTAGTAACCTGGCTTTCTTTGCTTTGGCATGCAGATAGTCAAACATGGTCACCCCATAGGTCTCCATTCTACACCTCATTCTTTCTCTCATTTATTAAGAACAAGCATGAATTCCTGGGGGAGTCAATCAGTTTTCCTGAGTCTGTGCCAAGAGTTC